GAGTGAAAATCCTATTTTAGCTTTGCATCCTTTAAAAGGCTGATTGCCACTTCTAAATATCATTCAACTCAAATAGAGTTTAACTGTCATTGTATTGTGATATACTTGTCTCTCATTCCTCTTCCAAGGTTTAATAGTAAACACTAAAGAGTTAGATTTTATATTCACAAAGAGTAATCAAGTTACAGGTCTCTCTTGACTCACGTAAGCACAATAACTCCCTGAAGCACAAAAGATTAAGTAAGCATCACTCAAAAGAAAGAGCACTTCTACTTGGAGCAAAAGATACATAAATCAATAAAATAATTGAGAGAACCTTTAAAATGTCTGCAGTGATTATGACAACAACAATGAGTTGATGCTACTATATTGAGTGAAGTTGTCAATATAAAAATTAAGAGCTTTGGTTGAAAGTATATCTAAGAACTTTAACCCTATTGAGGATTATAATTCATATATATAACTTTTATTTCAAATTCAGAAATAAGAATTCTAACATGGAATCTAATCACAAGTGATTCACAACACTCTAAGAACACGGTTTCACTTGGAACGTGTGGCACTTAATTTTGCTGCTTAACCATCTTAACAGTGTCATCCATTAATATATGCCCCAGGACGTGTACAGATAAAATTTGTGGTGCTGCTGGAACAACATAGTTGCCATATCAACATACTTCTTCACATATAACATTCACGCAATTAATGACCATAGCTCCTGCAAGAGGAGTGCAATGAAACTAATAACGAATGGATTAGATCATATGGATTAAATGGAAATTGTGAGAAAAGAGTATCGATACTTTATCATTAATTGGTAAAAACTGAAAAATACATCAAAAGCACAATCCATGGAAACTTTATAATTAATTGTTAATTTATTTAAGAAAAAATATATTGCAGATTCAATTTACCTATGTTTTGGTGCAGAACTTCGTTGGATTTGAATCCCCATCGAGAGGTAGAAGAAAATCCGAAGCTTGGTGAACTGAGATGAAGAAACTAGCAACCAAAACAAACTCACGAACAGAAGAATCCTCCAAACCAAAAAAGATTTGGAACCTGTCAGACAGCCCAGAGGTCACCCCAGCCGCGTGCGACTGAGAACGATCATCTACTGCTCGACTCATAGCTGAACCGGAGCTGTTAATCACGCTCTAACCCCCAGGCCTTCGGTCATCAACCAGGATTGGTTTCTGGTCTCCTTATAATTCAAGGATTCAGAGGTACGATCCTATAGAACAGATCCTGTTCAAGTAAGGTCGTGACCATGATTCTCAGCTTCCTGCTTTTATTTACTCCTTTTACATTCGAAACTACCGGTGTGGGAAACTTCGAAGCGCTGCAAGGCTCTAAAGAGTGAAGGAATGACCTCCTAGTTACGCTTAGAAATTTGTGGTTATTGGCTGCTCTTAATTTCCTTGATAGCCATGGATAAATTATAGGCGTGTTTAAGCCATTTTCTAAATTATGTGCTCCCTGTTTGTTTTTATTTGTTGTATTAATTAAGGGTACGTCTAGCCTTTCTTCATAACCATTATCCATCAAAAACTTCATATCCTTTCGTTTGTTATTTCAAAGGAAATTTTTCTAAAATAGAGATAAAAGTAGTGTGAAAGTTATTATTTCTCTAAATATGTAAATTACCGAGGTAAGGGTCAATTTAGTACATATACTTGTATGAAATGGAGTAAAGAATACATTATATTGAATACACATGTTAGATTAACATGTTAATGTGGATGAATTTGCTATCAGAATGCTAATAAGTCGACTCCTAAAGATTGACACCAACCCCAGCCCCTTGATCGACTTCCTCTTGATCAACGTCAATCCTCCACAGGTGAATATTCCCTTGGTCGATGCACCCATGTCGGCCGATGCCCCATGCAGGTCGACCTCCGAAGGTCGTTTTTTTCTTTTTGGTCAATTTTGTGAAGGTTGGCGTCATAAACTTGGTCCATTACTCAAGATTTTGTTAGTTAACTCAGGCATATTGACATGTTAATCTAACAAATGCACTCAATTAATACTAAATAACCGAGTTTATGTACTTATAAATGTCAAATGCAATATAGTATAATCTTTACTCTACTTGGTACAAATTGATGTACTCAATTGATCCTTTCCTCGTAAATTACCACCATCATCCTAAAATTTATACTATAGCATTATCACATAGTATAGCATAATCACATATCAATAGTACGTACTCCGTAATATTATGTTATAATTGACTGTAGTTTCTACATACTCCTGTCCCAAAAAGGTTCATCAAACTGAAGTTTTTGATAAGTGATATTCAATTTTGACCAATAATATTTTCTAACACGAAATTATGTTAAATGAAAATAATATTAAAATGTACCCTATTCAAACTATTTTCATAACAGTATAAAATTTATAAGATATATACAAATATAATAATTAAAATCATTGTCCAAAGTTTATCGTAATTGACCAAGAAAAATTCGTATACAAATCTTTTCAGGACGAGGGTGTATTAAAAAAAGGTTTAGAAATGATTGATCTTTGGATTTAGATATTGAAACTTCGAATTAGTAGAATCAATGTGTGTAAGTATACTCTCAAATATTGGGTAACTAAAGATGTTTTTACTAGGACTGAAATTTCTGGTCTGGTCTGATATTGGTAGAATCATCCCGTTTCAATATTTTATCTTTCCCCTTCTCTACGTCTCATATCAATATTCTCATTTCACATTACAAAATAATTAACTCCCTTAGATGAAAATTTTATCATCAATTACTACTTTTTCGAAAAAGGTAATTGATTAGTATTACATAATTAATTAATTCCTTAATGGGAGTATTATATTATATTCCGAAAAAGTACCATAAATATAATGAAAAAAATATGACTAGTTTTCCTTTAATTTTCCGAAACGGCGAAACGTTATTAACATTTGTTTAATTAAATAAAATTTTCTCTCCTTCTAACCCCCACAAACTGCCCACGCCTTCCCCACTATCATCGGAAACTGCCGTTGACCACAGGAGCAGTCATAAGTGTTCGCCAAGTTTTATTTTATTTATAACTTTTTAAGATTCATCGGGAAAAGTCATTAAAAAAAGGAAAAATTGATTCTAATAATCCCACCTTTAACCGGTCTTCCCAAAATGGTCCCTCTTTCAAGTAATCCGAAATAAATCCCACCTTTCTATTCCGTCTTCTATGTTTGGTCCCAACCTGGTGTTTACCCGTTGCTGCAGGTAAATAACCGGTAAAATTGGAAACGACGTCGTAAGATTTATAACCTACGCACTCTTACTCTCTCCGGTAGTCATCGCTCTTACTCTGTTATTCTATCATCTTCCTCTTTCTTTCGATCAAGACATATTAAGCTATGTTGGATGAGAAACGATTTCCGCAAGGTTGTGGTTCTTCTTCGGTGACATCTAACAGTAGGTCAGATTCCAGAATTCAATGCAAGCACAACATGAATTCAGTTTTGCGAGTGGTAAAAAGTGGGCGAAATCTAGGGAGGAAGTTTCATGGATGCCCTTTATGGCCTGTAAGTTTGGTAATTGTTAAGGATAATTTGTAATATAAAGCTAGGGTTTTACATTTGTATGTGTTCGTAATTATTATATATCCTTAAAGATGTATAAAGTTGTTATTTGTTCAATAGGATGCAAATTGTGGGTTTTTCAAGTGGGAAGATGCAATGGATTTGAGCTTTTCTGGTAAAAATGAAGATCTCAACTTCATTAACTAGAAGTATGAGACATTTGAGGTGGAATTGCAGGTGAAGATAATGGAAGAAAAGATACAAAAGTTGAAGTTAAAGAAGAAAAAACTGGAAGAGCAAGGTGAGCAAATGAAGAATGAGATTTCCCAGTTACGCACTGCGGTGTTGAATTGTTCACAGAAAATCAAGAAGTATCGAATGACTGTAATTGTTTCATGGATCGTATTTGTCATTGTTTTTTACTTTTTCAAATAGGTTCTATTAAGAAGTTTAGTACGTAGTACATTTCCAGTTTCCATGTGTTGTGTGATGTAACTTGAATTTACTTGATTGGGTTGGAATGAAATATTCATGTTGATAATGAAAGCTCCTCATTGATTATAAGGTTGCACGTTGAAGTGTGGATGCTAACAATCTGCAGGTTGTAAAATTGCAGATTTTGAACTTCAAGTTTTAAAACTTTGTCCAGGTTTTCAAAGTTGAGGTTTTCAAAGAGGTTTTCAAAGTGAAAAGTTTATAGTTATGTTTATTTTGTAATCATTAAAACCAGTAAGAAAAAATGTAGAGAGAGCATTGCATTCTACAAAACAGATGAGAAAAAATACAGACATGAAAAATGAAATCAACACACTTTTAACCGTGCAGCAAAATTTTTGAGAAATTTTGAATCTTTTGAAAAATGAAAAGAGGTATGTTGTACAAGGCTAGAAGCTTTTCTATCATCTTTTTATTGACTGGTTGTTATATACATATGTACATAATACATTAGAGATGGTAAAAACGATCAACATGGTTACTTCATGTTTATTTGTTGTTTTACATACTTGCTCACGTAGATAATAATCATAGGCATCAGAGAGGATACAAGTACAGAAACAAAATCATCAAAAGACTTCCAAGAACTGAGGCAAGGATTCTACTATAATCCATCCAGCTCAAGTTTTAAATAGGACTATAATCCATCAGCAACTATTAAGCAACTATTACAACTTCTGGGAAAATCATATCCATTTTGCATCCAACTCTTATGGTAATGCCAATCCATTAAATTATGGGTGTTTCCTGAATCTGTAAAAATGTTAATTACTTTTTTCCCCACAAAACCAACAACTCTGAGAAAATAGATACAACCATTAAGCACCAAACAAACCAAAAAGTACTGCATCAACCATGTCAACACCCATTTCAAATAACCATCCAGGTGTGTACACAGATCATTAAAATACAGACCATTGTCACCATAATTCAGCCACTTCACATAAATAGAGAACAAAATAAACACCAATTTCACCATAATCAATAATCCATTCGGCAGGGAACATAATTAAAATAAAAAACATCCCTAACATGATGGGACCATTAAACAGGGGACCATTAACACCATAATTCAGCCACTTGACATACCTAAAAACAGCCCAAGGGTTTAACAAAAATAACCATAAAACAATTTAATAACCTAAAACTATTACATCACATATTTGTCATTCTCCATTTTGCCCCCTGCTGCCCCTTCCTCGTCCTTGGGCTGCTTTATTTCGCCCTGAACTTGTTGCTCCTCTAGATCCCCTTCCACCTCTAATAACTCTCCCCCCTCTGCCTAGTTTATTGGGTTCTGCTGTAGCAAAATGATGATTTAACTGTCCAGTTATAGATGTAGAGTGCACAGGTCCAGAACTCATTACTGGCCTTCCCTTTGATCTCTTGGGTTTCGGTTCCTTAAGCACAGGTTTATCCCTATTTGGACACCTTCTTTTGTTGTGCCCCTTGGTTTGGCAAATGCTGCACGTCATCTCAATACCATGTCGAGTAAGTTTCCCAGGTTTTTTTGGATCCTCAAAAGGATCTTTTCTTCTATTCCGCCTAGGCCTTCCTGGACCGATTTTTATCGGAGGAGGAAACAACTTAAACTCTATCCTAGGCCAATGTCTCTCACCTTCACATGGGGGGATAGATCCTGCATACGCCTTCAAATAAGTGTCTCTCTTATAGCAGTCATCAACGAAATCCTCAGCTTCTTTGTGAAGGAAGAATATGCAAGCTATTGCGTGACAACATGGTATGCCAGACATATCCCATTTCCTACAAGTACAAGTCTCTGCTCCCAAGTCCACACTAAGACTATCTAGGTTGAGATTTACTTGAAATGTATGACATGTTGAAGGCAGAACATCACAATACGCAGCTTTACCCTTCTCTAGTTCAAGTCTGCTTTGGATTCTTGGGCAGATTATGGAGTCCCCATTCTCCATTTCCTGCCTTTTAAGAACCAACCTTTGCATCAACGCAGCTCTAATCTCTTCCAACATGTATATTATGTGCTTTGTTCTTGCATTTATTATGTAGCCGTTGAAGGTTTCTGCCATGTTGTTGGTTACTGCATCTGTTCGTATGCTAGTCTTCATGAATGCCCTACAGAAAACCTTTGGGTTGTAGGTTTTGAAAGCAGTGGCAGCCTCAACATTTACTTTAGCCAATTCATCAAATGCGTCATTGTAGTCTGCCATGTTGTAAGCTTTGACAATTTTCCAAAACAGCAACTTCATCTCATCTCCTTTGAAAGACTTGTGCCATAGTGCAAATATATGCCTTGCACAATGTCTATGTTCAGCAAGAGGAAGAACATTTGAAACAGCATTTATAATAGCCTGAAAGGAAAGAAATATCTATTAATAAACAACATTTATAATAGCCTGATTATTAGTAAACATCATGAAGTTGACTACAAATTTATATATTCTTTGATTTGCAATTGCAAAGTTTGCTCAGAATTACTGTTGAGAGTAGCCTGATTGTATGTCTGTGGTTCTCAGTGTTATGCCTACACAGATCTTAACCAAGAAATAGAGAAGAATAACGGTATCAATAAAGGAAATAAATGAACATTTAATCAAAAATTCTCTTCTAGGCATAACATCTTCAATTTTGTTTCAGTTATAAAACATCATATCCTTTCTTCTATTTTGTTCATTTGATCGTTGGAAGAATGTTAGATTGTTGATCAACTAGATTATATACCACATAGAAACTGATGTCAGAGCATTAGCTGAACTGTTTAAATTGCAAAATATAATGCATTTTGCTTTCATATATATTCATTTGAAACGACATTTATAATAGCCTAAAAAATCTGAAAATGTATTAATAAACAGTTTAAACATCATGAAGTCATAAACTTAATAAACAGTTTATTTATATACTTGTTATACATATATGTTGCAGTTTACACTTGATAAATCATAATTGATATATGTACCTGGTGTTCATCAGAAATTATAGCTATGTCATCACCATCTCCTAGGGCAAGGCATTTTTGAAGGTTGATAAAAAACCACTCCCATGAAAGATTGTTCTCTCCTTCAACAACTGCCCATGCTATGGGATACATTTGTTCATTACCATCTCTACCCACAGCACACATCAATTGTCCACCAAGAAAGGTTTTTAAAAAACAAGCATCAACACATATCACTTTTCTGCACCCTTCCTTCCATCCATTTTGAAGACCTTCAAAGCAAATGAACAATCTTTGGAATATTGGGGTCAAATTGTTGTTATTGGGAAGAGTAACCAACTGCAATTCAGTCCTAGGACTTGATATTTTCAAAGCTTCCAAATATCTCCCAACCTTCTTGTAGTGGTCCTTCATCGATCCATGGAGCAACTTGTGTGCATTGTATTTAACTTTATATGCAAAATCCCTTTTAATGACAACTTTGTAAGCCCTCTTTACTGTCTCAATGATTTCCTTAGCTGGCCAGTGTGGTCTTGCCTTGAAAACGTCAAGAAATTGTTGAGAAACCCAAGTTGACTTTAGTTGTTTGTTCTTTTTCATATTACGATGACACTTATGCTTCTTTTGAACTGTCTTCACTGAGAATGTTGCTCTCCGAGAATCCCAAGATGAGTACAACCTGAATGGACAATCTTGTACACATCTGACCCCTAATCTTTGTTGTCTCTTTTTGTTACTCGCGACAAAAGTGAGATTCCGACCTTGCAAGATGGCATATTTAGTTACAGCCTTCTTAAAATCCTCCCGAGTAGCAAACCTTTGTCCGACCTTCCACTCAAACACCGAGAAGTCAGTATTTGTAGGCACTAAATCACAAGTTCTTTTCTTTCTATTTTCAGTTAAGTCTTCATCACATGTATCAGGAGGAGTATTGATTTCCTCCTCACTACCTTCATAGTCACTGAAGCATCCTTCCTCTACGTTCGGTATGTTTGTTTCTGCACTACAATTAGGTGGTTCAGTCTGAAAACCGAGCTTACCTTCTGCCGCTTCCTTCTGAAGTTGTTGTGCAAGTTCAAACAACATGCTATTGCAGTCTTTTACCCTTTCCTTGGCTGTTCTATATTCATCATCACTTATATCATCACCAGTCAAGTATTCATCGTCTCCCTCAAAAAAATAGTTACTTGGTTCATCTTCTTCATCATCTTCAAGATCCGCAATAGAACCTTGCTCATCATCATCATCATCATTTTGAACCACATTTTCAGCACCCACTCTAGAAGAATCACAATCTCGTTCACCCTCACCACCATCGAAAGCTGGAGCACCATCAATTGTTGGTTGTGTAGATATTTCTGTGGCTAGGGGTGAGGGTAACAACAACACTAAATCTTCTTTATCAATGCCATGCAACACATAACAGTCCAAGGATTTAAACCTCATCAATATCTCTGTCATCTCTAAGACCTCTTTATCATTGTAAACTCTTCTTAGCCCCTTATCAAACGTAAGCCCAGGAATGAGATAAAATATTTCATCAATTATATTATAAGTGCCGCACTTTTTTGCCAATTCCTCCAACCAAAACCAACAAAGTTCATCAGGGTCTACCTCAAAGGTTCTACTGTTCCCATTCAAATAAACTAATTCATTGTCTTGTTTTCTGAATAAGCCCCCATGCCAGAATGTCAATGACACATGGTCCATTAGTACCTTTATAACCTAACAAATCACAAATAAATAATGTGTTACCTTAGAAGTTCAGCTTTTCTGTGTATTTGGTATTAACTGGAATTTTATCGAACACCTCCTAGGCTGGAGTCAATAAGTAATGATTCAAGTGTGCCGAGTGTGTATTTCATTAACAAACCAAGAATAGTTTTTTATACAACAAAACCGATACTCCTCCTTTTCAAATTTATGTTTGAAGTCTGGAATGAATAGTTATGGATTTTGGATTTGATATCTTACCAGAAAATTTGACTAGCGGTAATCCTCTCTGTAATTTGATATCTCGCTGTAATCCTCGCTGTAATTCTCGCTGTAAGCCCCCAGTCCAGTCCCGCCTCAGTCCCCAATTTCTTCCGTGCCGTCTCCCCCTATTCTCCTCGCCGCAGTCCCCCTTGCCGTCCTCACCGTCTTCCAGTTCCAGTGTCGTTCTCTACCAGCCTAGAAGAAAGACTAATTGTGACGCTAAAGGTTTTTTAATTGTAGATTTTAGCTAAATAATAACAAAGTAAAACTACAATAATAGCCTTCCAACGGTGATTTCAAATGTTTTAACCGGTAACAAGTCATTGGGACCGAACATAGAAGACGGAATAGAAAGGTGGGATTTATTTCGGATTACTTGAAAGAGGGACCATTTTGGGAAGACCGGTTAAAGGTGGGATTATTAGAATCAATTTTTCCTTAAAAAAATCAAAGTGATATACTACGTATTTCACAACGGAAGTGGCACCGACAACTATTGGCAGTGACACCAACAATAATTGGTAATAACAAACTCCCTCCGTCCCGTAAAGATGTTCCCCGTTTGACCCTCACACATTTTTATGAAAAAGTAAAAGTGTTGTTGACTTTCCCTATTTGCCCTCCCATCCCCACGTGCTGGCTTAATTCCGAAAACAAAAAAGAAAGGGAAAGGAGCTGCAGTGGTAAAAACAATAAATTAAGGGGCTAAAAAACTTTTAAAAGTGATTTGATGGTTCTATAGTGATGGAAACTGAGTCCAGCTTACAAGTTTGGAAACCCCTCCAAAAAAAAGGGAGGGTTAATGCTAAAAAAAAAGCTGCAGTACGCCAAAATTCAAAATTCCCTCTAAATTGTTCTTTAAATGCCTACAACTACCACATCTACCACCATTTACTACACCTATGGATCCCTCTTTGGCTCTCTGAACTAAGCATGGCGCAGATTCCTCAGTTCCAACTGCACCTTCCTCAGCAAACTTTGCAACTCCTGCTGTACCTGCATATTCCACAACTCCAACTCCTGTTGTACCTGCAGCACAAAGAAATGAAGGAAGACAAACTTGAGGCAGCAGGACGGCTAAACTAAGTAATGCAGAGAAAAGCAGTTTGGTGGAAATACTATTAGCTCATTATCATAACGGGAAACTTCAGAGGGGCATTGTGGGAAAACAACTACACAATTCAACTGTTCTAGGCGTACAGTTAACAAATTGTGGGTCCGAGCTCACAGTCAACTCAATGACGGGGTCCCAATTAATGTGCAAAGCCAATATAAGGGAAATGTGGGAAGAAAAAGAGTCATTTTTTACTTGGACAAGTTAAAAGACATTCCACTTCATCAAAGAAAGAACATTCGGTCTTTGGGTTATGCCCTAAACATCTCAAAGTCTTATGTGCACAGATTAATCAAAGGTAAGCCAATAAAGAGACATTCCAATGCCATAAAGCCATTGCTCACACATGAAGGTAAAATCAAAAGGTTACAGTTCTGTCTATCTCATGTAGTGCCTAGGCCAGTGCCATTAAACTCCACATTTCATCATTTTTAAGATTACATTCACATAGATGAAAAGTTGTTTTTCTTATCAAAAGAAACCACAACATACTACACCCACCCAGTGAGCCTGACCCCTACAGATCTGCTCAATCCAAAAACATTTATACCCAAAATTATGTTTTTAGTAGTTGTGGGTAGGCCTAGGTTTGGGGAGAATGGGGCAGTGTTATGGGATGGAAAGATTAGTATCTTTCCATTCACATTTGAGGAAAGAGCAAAGAGGGCTAGTATAAACAGACCAACATGAACTTTAGAGACAAAACCCACATTAAAGGTCACCAGAAATGTTATCAAGGAGATGATGCTACACAAAGTCCTACCAGCAATCAAAGCTACATGGCCAGATGCAGAAAATAGAAACATCATAATTCAATAGGATAATGCAAGGCCACATGTCCATGCAGATGATGCAGAGTTTCTGGAGTCAGCAACTGCTGATGGCTGGAACATAAAGCTTACTTTCCAGCCAGCTAACAGCCCATACCTAAATGTCTTGGACTTAGGTTTTTTTCGTGCAATTGATTCACTGAAGAAACAAAAATCCCTTAGGAGTATTGTTGAGTTAATTGAAGTTGTGAGAACTGCATTTGCTAAGCTCACAGCTTATACTTTGAACAAAGTGTTTTTAAGTTATCAGTGTATGATGGAACAAATATTGATGCACAAGGGTGGAAATCACTTTAAACTCAAACATGTTGGTAAGGATAGGCTTGACAGACAGGGGATGCTACAACAGAATATGGAAATCAATCCAGCATTGGTGGATGAAGCTAAGGAGAATCTCATACACATGCAAACACAAGGGCCAGAAACACAAGAGGTGCATATGCAGGTGAAAGGACTGAAACTCAGTTCACAACTGAAGATGATGATCATCTTCAATGATGAACTGGGTAGGGACAACTTTTTTCATAGATGGGGAAGTGTACAATTTTTGTAAGTACACTAGTAAGGGACATTTTTTTGTATGTAGGGAAGTGTACAATTTTTTGTATGTACATTAGTAAGGGACAGCTTTTTTGTATGTACACTATCAAAGGAACATAGCACAAAATATGTAGGTGACGTGTACAAGTGACGTATGTGCTGCCATGAATGCCTAGCCTACAATATCAAAAAGTAGGGGCAGTGTAGTATCTTTTGTTCAAATAGTTGTATGTTTATTGGCAGACATGTGTATATTCAAGTGAAATGGTAACCAGAAATATGTACAGATACATAGCCTCCTACACTTAGTCAAAGTGGGTGGCATAAGTACTGAAGGCAACCAGAAATATCATCCCCAGTACATGGTTACTTATGGTAACCACATGCCATTCATGTATGCATTCAAGTCAATTCATGTAAGCAGACAAGGGCAAGTAGTGTAAGTGCAATGCCTCATATCAGTGTAATGTAAGCCATATCATCATTAGCAAACAGCACAAATATGGATATATAGCCTCCTACACTTAGTCAAAGTGGGTGGCAAATGTACTGAAGGCAAGCAGAATAATCATCACCAGTACATGGCATTCATGCATGCATTCAAGTCAATTGACACAATCTTACTCACACACATGCACATACATTAGCTTCAAAGCCCGGGCCATCATCAGTGTACTCACTCAGTAACCACACAACCCCCATCATCATCAGTAGAAGCACTAAAGTAAGCAGACAAGGGCAAGTAGTGTAAGTGCAGTGCCTCAGATTAGTGTAATGTAAGCCTTATCATCATTAGCAAACAACACAAATATAGATACATAGCCTCCTACACTTAATCAAAGTGGGTGGCATATGTATGAAGGCAAGCGGAATAGTCATCACCAGTACATGGCATTCATGTATGCATTCAAGTCAAATGACACAATCTTACTCACACACATGCACATACATTAGCTTCAAAGGCTGGGCCATCATCAGTTTACTCACTCAGTAAGCACACAACCCCCATAATCATCAATAGAAGCACTAAAGTAAGGAGACAAGGGCAAGTAGTGTAAGTGCAGTGCCTCACATCAGTGTAATGTAAGCCCTGTCATCATTAGCAAACAGCACAAATATAGATACATAGCCTCCTACACTTAGTCAAAGTGGGTGGCATATGAACTGAAAGCAACCCAGAAATAGGATCACCAGTTCATTTACATAGCCTCCTACACTTAGAGAAAGTGGATGAAGGCAACCAGAAAACACAAGGAGACTTGTGTAGCAGTAAGGTAAGAAAGAATCAGGTAATTTCAGCATTTAAGCAACAAGCAGGTTATGCAATGGCACAATAATTCATCATTTATCAGATAAAGTGGCCAATAACCACAAAATGGGGTAACAAATGTGCAAATTCAAACGAAATACACATATGTAAGGAATAGAGAGACCTCCCTTAAGGGGTGTCCCGAAATACATCCGCATAGGGATCTGGGAACATGGCGTCGAAGGAATTAACCTCCTCGCCTTCCTCAACTGATTCTTGAGACTCAGGACACTGGGATTCATACCACTTCTGCAGCTTCCAATCCGGATCTGTTTCAGATGATGTAGTCCACCCACATCCACTGTCTCCTTCTTCGTCGTCGTCCACCCAAACGGGACGAATAATTTTAGAATGGGTGACCGATTTTTTTTTCGAAACCACAGAGGCTAGGGTTTGTTACAGGTGGATGACCATCGGAAAGGTTTAGCCGTTTGGAGTCTGAATTCGAAGATGACACAGAAACAGGGTGTTCATCAATGGAAGGGGTAGGGTTGGTGGAGGATTCCATGCGTGGAAACCAGAAGAAGATGAAGGCACGTTCTAGAGAGAGAGGAGGCGAGTGGGGAATGTAAATGGGTTATCCGGATAATGATGGGGAAAGTGGGGAGAGTAATTGGGTAAATGGGGAGAGTAAATGGGAAGGGTATATTAGGTATTCCATGTTAATATTCTTTCCTTTTAAGGAAATGGTAACTTCTTTCTGGGATGTCCAAAAAGGAAACTGGGAACATCTTTAAGGGACGGAGGGAGTAATAAACTAACATTGACATAAAAAACCGTCAATGACATAATAGACCAATAGCACATGACACTCATAATTTTCCAAATTGATTAATGTGATAGTCACATTTTTGTCGATATAAGCTAAGTAATCATTTTTTTCCAAATTTGGCTTCCATTTAGTAATGTTTAAGAAAATTTTATATGTTAGATACTCACCAAACTACTTTTCAAACTGTACTCAAAATTGTTTTATTTAACCATTGTCTAAAAATGTGTCATTTTCAAGTCAAAACTGTCAAATGGGAAGAGATAGTACTCAAATAGTTCAAAACACAAAATATTCAAGAACATATATTTCTTATCATCAATGAATTAATGTAAGGAAAAAGTGGTCCAGCTCAACTGATCGTTGACTCATTTTTCCTTATAGAAGGTCCTGTGTTCAATACTCAGACCCACAACCCCCTCCCTCAGACCCATGGGGTAAAAAAAGAGAATACAAATATACCATTAAAATATATGTTAGAGAATAAAAATACCCTTCAACTCCGTAATAAAATATTTTTAAATATAATTTACACATAATAATTTACACATAATTTCAAATATATTTTAAATATACTTTAAAATATATTTTAAATATAAATCATCAGAATCAGCTAATCCAAGCACTTCAATCATTACTTCATAAGTTTCCGGAAAATGAGGAGATTTTATTACTAAGTGGGCTTTTAATTTATGGTTGTTTGGGAAGATATATCTGTTACGGAGATATGATAGCGAGATTATACTCCGTAGGAAATACGAAGTAATTTTCATTTATTATATTCATAGATAGGAAAATGTATTTTTATGCTTTGTTTTTTCATTTTTGTGAGCTTTCGAACCCTTTATCTCAATAAGTTGGAACGTGCTCAATCATATACGAAGTAATATACCTCTAAGGACTAACCTCTCTATCTTCTCTTTACATTATTTCTAACTTTTTCATCTTATTTCTTTTACTTTATTTAATGTTTCCTACACATACACGTTATCATTAATCACACAATTTTATATTCAAAAATATGAGTGAATAGATGAGATATTTACTACTAGTAGTAATTTATATGAGACAAATTAATATATAGAATTACCTCGATCTCAACCATTGCCTGACACACGCCTCACTCCTGTAGTCCTGTGTATAGAATGAAGATTTTCCGGCCATATTGTGTGAACCAGAAGAGTTAAAGACTGAGTGGTCATCATCATCTGAGAACTGCCTTGCTTATAGCTGTTCCCTTCCATGCCCATTTGCCCATAACACTTTCGTCTTAGCTTCCTCGTTCATATCCTCTTCTGACTAGCAATCAGAAATTAATTAGTTCATTCAATGTGACTTAATTAGCTAGATAATGAGATACTACTTCCATATTTTGGCTCCTAGTATTCAAGTGCTATTAGGATGTTCCAAACCAGACCAGACTTCCTTGGTTAAAAAATACACAGAGACCAGACGTTTACCAGACCAGACAAGACCAGACCAGATTAGGGATGACAATGGGGCGGGTTTGGGGCGGGGGTACACTCCCCCATCTCCCACCCCATGTCTAAAAAGTTCCCTCCATCCCCGCCCCACCCCCCATTACTCCCAGACCCGCCCCATCCCCGCCCCACCCCATTGTCCCCCACGGGTGCCCACGGGTGCCCCCATATAAATTTAATTTATCGTATTTGCATATACTTTTAATCTCTTATTATAAATATATGTAGTGCAATTCCAATGAAAACGATGCTTAACATGGGAACACTCACATTTAATCCAATATGATACACAATAATCCAATGTGACACACAATAGAGCCATTCTAGTGCACATTTGGACTTCGCTCAACACAAGCTAATATAAATAAGAGATATTACCCAAAATAGGACTAAAAGAGTTAGAAAATTCCAAAATAGGACTCCCATGTTTTTATTCCCAAAATAGGACTAATTACTGACATGTTTTGGCAGTACCAGACTTCAAACATGGCAGTATTTTCGAAACTTGGCAGTAATTACTCCTATTTTGGGAATAAAAACATGTCAGTCCTATTTTGGAATTTTCAAACTCTTTTAGTCCTATTTCGGAAACTTTCCCTATAAATAATCACGGCGGCACTTTTGTAAATATTATGCTAGATACAAAAAGTGCATTGTGCGAACTCATTGTGCTTCACATTGGGGGTAAATGTGGTGTTCGCACGTTCTCATGTTAAACGTTGTTCTCATTTGATCCTAAGCCTATATATATCTACGCGCACACAGTGATATATGACACATACACACACGAAACACTGAAGTATTGTGTTTGTTAAAAGTTAATACCACCAATTTTAATAATTCTTCAATTTGAATAAGTTTTGTGAATTAAAGACAATTAAAGTAAAAATATAAGTAAACATATTATCATCATGTACGTTGTTTCAAAATTCTCAACAATTATAATACAATTAATTACATATTATATTACATATACATGTTTGTGTATTTATTTACTCACTTTCTCACTCTTAAAACTCATATACGGAGTAACATTTATGATAGGAAAAATTGACAAAAATAATCTCACCTTTCGCTGGTCTTCTCATAATAATCTCACCTTTAGGTAATCCCAGAATAATCCCACATTTGCACCTCATCTTCTTTCATTGGACCATGACCATGTTTTTTACTCTTTTTTGAAAATCATATAAATAATCTCACCTTTCACTTTATTTTCTATTATATCTTTATAAATGTGAGATTATTTATATAAGATTTTCAAAAAAAGGTAAAAAACTTGGTCAGGGTCCAATGAAAGAAAACGAGGTGCAAAGGTGGGATTATTTTGGGATTATGTAAAGGTAGGATTATTATGAGAAGACCAGTGAAAGGCGAGATTATTCTTGTCAATTTTTCCTTTATGATAAATATTTTTAATCATCACTAGCTTATTATTATTCTAGTATAATATGTATTAATTCATTAACCATGATTAAACCGTATACAATTATGTATGTCTATATGTATATGCGTTTGTTATATACTACAAATAATTTAATTTAATGTGTGTACATTATTTATATATGTGTATATATATGTTTGAGTATATATTTATAACGGGGACGGGGCGGGTGTAGCAATACCCGTCCCCACCCCATATTTTAACGGCGTAAAATAATTTCACCCATCCCCGCCCCCACCCCGCCCCAAGCCCCGCCCCATCCTTCCCCCGCGGGGCGGTTCCCCACGGGTCCCCGCCCCCATTGCCATCCTTAGACCAGATCAGACCAGAACAGACCAGACCAGACCAACAAATTTCAGTCCAAAACAAAACATTCATAGTCTCCTTAACTTTCATGTTTATAGGGTTTAAATAAACTATGTTATCGAATCCAGTCTTTTTTAATCATGTGAGTCTGAGCTTGATTTCGAATTTAATAAGCTTTAAACTCGAACACGGGTTGAGTTATAAGTTCATGTACTTGTTCAAGTCGAGCTCAAGGAGATTAATGTTTGGTTTGATTGGAACTCCCGCACATCTAACACTTACGGAGTATAACTGTATAAGTTATAGGGAAACATTAATTATATAGGTTGAAATTTAAACGTATTTAATGTGGTTTTAAAAAATTGAAAATGTATATCTAGCGCTCAAATTAAACTTCTTTTTTTTACTCAAGGTTGAAACTCACTACATTCAGTTTTGAACCTGAGACCTCCCGTAAGGGAGCGTGAGTTGACGACCAGCTGAGTTGGACCGCTTCCTCAGCTCAAATCAAACATCAAATATACTTCGTATCTATTAAGTCGAACTTGAGCCTCAATTGTACACCTCGTCGAGTTTTGAACTCTAACCCAAATACCATTATTACCAAGATGAGTCAAATTCGAACACTGAGAGCCCGTTTGGTAACACTAACATCGGCGGAATTGGCTGATTCTGCTGAAATTTATGAAGTTCTGGCTGAAGTGGTTGTATTGGCTGATTCTGCTGATTCATGAAAAAATTATATTTAAAATATTTGTTATTAATAAATTAAATAAAAAATTATATGGAAAATAGCTAAAATGATCATCTACAATAATTTCAGCCAATACAGTAAAAAAAAGTAACATCGGCCTTACTTTTTCTGTTTATTACAAAATTCAGCGCGCGAAATCAAAAGTTACGTGTTTGGTAAAAAAGCTGACTGATAAGCCTTATAAGCCGAAAACAGGGGCACCAAACGGGATCTGAATATTCAGGCTTGAGTCATTATTAGACCTAGTTTAGGAGACCGTTTGGTAGCCCCTATTTTTAGTTTATTTGGCTTGTCAGCCAATTTTTTATCTGGACGTAAATTTTGATTTTGTAAATTGTTTGATAATAAAAACTAAGTTGGAATTATTTTTTTGATTGAATTGCGAAATTCGTCGATTGAATTGTTTAATTTGTGTAGAAAATCATTGTAGCTTTTTTTAATATAAGTTTTTCATTAGTGAAGTGATTTACTCATTATCATTACATACAGGGCAGAGTGGCGGACCTGGAAAATGAAAATGGGTATTGGAACTTTTCAGCTTTTGTCGACCAAATTCCATATTTTGACAGAATTCCCTAAATAGGAATAAAAACGTTTCAAAATTCTAAATTAGGAGTATTATGCTTTTTATTCTCTAAATAGGAGTAAATTTGTGTCAGGTTTGGCATTACAAGGCTTTAAACATGACCTTTTTTTTCAAATTTGGCAGATTCCTTCTATTAAGGGAATAAAAAACATGATACTCATATTTTGGAATTTAAAAAACGTTTACTCCTATTTAGAGCAATTTATGTATTTTATACTCCGTACTATTTATTAGGTACGCACTACTCGAGTTCATGTGATTGAAATAATTAATTACTACGTATAAAAGAATAGTAAGGTCATAAATTATTACTCCGTATTTAGTTATTAAAATCAGAAGAGATGGAAATCTATATTACATCTTTTTATATGTGAGTTACATCTTCATGTGCAAGAGTTACATCTTTTTAGAAGCGAGTTAAAGCGCGAGTTACATTTGTAATATAATAACATGAGTTACATAAAAAAAAAACCTTGTATTCAAACAAAAAATGATTTTTTAAATCCTTTATTAGGTCATGATATTAAAAATCAAACATATTCACGGTTTACATAAAGTAATTGTGCAATTAAACTCTATTTTCATTGTTTACATTGAAATAAATGTTTTATTTCTTATACTATGTATTTGATAAGTTACATTTCAAATGGACTTGAGTTACATCGATCAATAACGTGAGTTACATATCCTTACATACAAGTTACATCATTCATACTACTGGGAGGGACAAAAAACAGTTAATGTTCACGCGCGTACTGTTCACGCGTTACTGTTCACGCAATTTAAAAAAAAAATTGTGCAAAACTACACCTATCAGATGATACCACGGTGTGGGAGCACGATGCTAACCGTGGGGGTGATACCATGGTATACGAACCCACGAACTCATGATCGGATGATGTAATCGTTTGTTCATGTGACTCTAATCTGGTCGAAAGGAGTCCTCTTTCCCCCTATCAGAATCGGTCACCTTTAACATTAAATTCAATGTGTAATCAAATCAAACTTTACAACCAATTTTTTAATTAAATACGTAATATTTGATTTTGCGCGCTGAAATTATGCAAAATAAGTTAAGTTAGAACTACTTTCTCACTGAACGGGTGGAAGTTCTTGTAAAAGATTATTGTAGCAATTTTTTCATATAAGTTGTCTTTATTTTAGTAATAAACTATATTTAAAATACTCCCTCCGTCCCTAATTATTTTGCCAAGTTTGACCGGCACGAGGATTAATAAAGTAAAAACTGTGTGTTTGAGGTTTGTGCAGAGGAGAGAGAATTAACTGGAACCACAAATTTTTTACTTAAAAGGGAAAGGGAAAGTGACAAAGTTAATGGGACATCCAGAAAATAAAAGTTGGCAAAGTTATAAGGGATTGAGGGAATATATTTTTTCGTAAATGAGTCAATTTAGCCAAAACTACATAAGTTTCAGTTGAATCATGTGATTTGGCCAATATTAGTGTTACCAAACGATCTCTAAATTTAATTCAAATTTATGTGAACATTTACTAATGCTATTTGTACACGGATTTTTACACGTCGATCAAATTGTTTATGTATAGACAAACTGCCTGGCATTTTTTGAAGATGTTTTTCACACCGACAAAAAAAATCTATGCCACAAACTTTTTTGTTTTAGACACAAACAATTTTTTTATTTGTGCGAAACAAGTTTTTCTTCACAATAAAACACTGGTCAAATTGTGTGTACAAAGACATTTTGATCAGCGTGTAAAATGTCGTGCACAGGAAGCATTAATGGTGACTACTCCCTCCGCCCTGAATTGTAAGACATTTTACGGTTTACGATGTTTGACCGACGATAAAGTAAATAAATTTATGTCCGCACTCAAATTATTTTTAGAAAAAAATAATTACATATTCAGAAACTACATTAAAAGTTTTACAAAGTCATAAAACTAGATTCAAATTTGATAAAAATTTGATATATAAAATAAGAGATTAAAAGTGATTTGTATTGACCAAATGAATAGAAAACATATCTTACAAAATGGGACTGAGGAAGCATTATAATCCAATTTAACAATTTGCATTTCGCTTTGATTGAAAAATAAAATATACTCCGTACTATCAGGGGCATCCTTGGGGGGAGTTGGGCCAGGCAAATGCCTTGGGCCTCACATGCCAATGGGGCCTCCAAAAAAAATAAAAACCCTATTAGCACTACTGTATTACGCAAATCTATTAATCAATGTCTTAAAAGGACTTATAAGACGCCGCCCTAAGCACAACACAGACAACAAACGCCTCAGGATAAAAGGCATCTAGGCCCAAAATGTTAATAAAAGGCTTCTACCTGAAACAGGCTGAGCTGCATCAAATGAAGAGGGTAAGCGTTAATTTTCCTCTACTCTTGACTTAGGAGAGACTTCTTTATATACAAAGTCGGCAAGAACATTTCTTTCTTCATTTCCGGTGTGGGAAAACGAAACTTGGTAGCTATATAAAATAGCGATGGGTGGGTTACGTACTAGGGTCTGGAAAACCTAAAAACTAATTTGAACTTGGGAACCATTTCCAACTTGTAATGTTTCTTCAATGTTTGCTTTTGAAATTGCATTTGAAATACTCCGTATAAAATAAAATAAAAGTTCTACCACATTATATTGATAATCTCATAATCATTACCATTATATTATCTTTATTTATTAAAAGTATATTATTGCTATGAATGTATTATCTTTATTTATTAAAAGTATATTATTGCTATGAATGTATAATATTATTCTTATATTATTTTATTTTTAGCAAAATTTATTTTTATATTATTCTTATATTGTTGTAATACGTAGTATATATTAATAGTTATACCACAGTATGTTTTTTTGTATACTGTATTTTATTCAAATCATCTCTTTTCAAAATGATTTTTCTGACGTAAGTTTTTTTTCGTCTAGGGCCTCCGAAATGCTAAAGACGTCTCTGCGTACTTTGTAGTAAATAGGAGTGAACTATCCTCTCTAGGTCTCATAAAACAATTATTTATATAGGTACCTTTCTTTATTATTATTTTATTTATATAAGTACCTTATACTACCTATAATCCCTTAAATTTAAGATCAAATATTTGATGGAGAACTTCATTTTAATATTGCAAACTAAAACAGGATAAGTAGCACTCTGTACTTCAAAGAAGCGGATAAATAGCAAGTGAGACGGATGGAAACACCAACATTTTGGTACCAAACTAAAATGGTAAAAACGAGTTTCTGACGAAAATAGGACTACGAAAAGAAAAGAAAAGTGTCATAGCAAAGAAGAAAATCTTAAAGGAGAAGATAAAAAAAATTCCTTCTTCTCAGAACAAGAAATAGATGAAGATTCAGTGCGACGTTTGTGAGAAGGAAGAGGCAACTTTTTTCTGCTCGGCGGACGAAGCCGCCCTTTGCCAAGCCTGCGACGGCCACGTTCACGAAGCTAATATCCTCGCCGGAAAACACCACCGCTTCACCCTTCTCTACCACGCCCACCACCTCCGTCCTCCGTCGCAGCAGGTCTGCGACATTTGCAAGGACAAACGGGCATTGCTGTTCTGCAAAGAAGAGCGGGCAATCCTCTGCGGCGGCTGTGATCTGCGGATCCACACCGCCAATGAGCGAACCCAGAAACACAGCCGGTTTCTTTTGACCGGAATCAAGCTCTCTGCTTCTAATGCATCTCCGGCGACCACCGGAGATCACCCGGACGCTGCTACGAGATCGCCAGCGTCGGATGCCGTTGTGTCGGAGGTGGATCAAAGCGGCGAGGGGTCGGTGGTTTCCGGCGGAGGTAGTAGCATATCGGAGTACCTGCTTGAGGCTATCCCCGGATGGCACGTTCAAGATTTTCTTGAATATGAATTCTGTAAGACTTATATTAATTTACTTCTCTCCTGCACATGTTTTTACTTGACTAATTTGGTATCACATTAAATTCGACTTAAATACGAAGTATATCCCAAATCGGACTTAAATAAATTAAATCACACTAAACCTCGTTAAATATAAAATACATATATAGACCAGACATTCATTCAATCAAATTTAAAAAATCACCAAATCTGAGCCAGAAAATTTCAAGTACAATTCAAAACATATCACAGTAAATATAGCTAGTCTTAGGTTTGGCAGGGATTTCCCAAAGCTGCTAGTATTTTGACGGATATATGCCAAACGGATGCCAAAAACACTAATTGTCACGAGCTATTTGACACGAAATTATGGATAAATTCATGCAAATTCTTGTCAATCCCGTAATTTTTTTGTAGCCTATACTACATAGGTCCTAATTGCATTTTTTGGTGGAAGACTTTTCAATTTTGACCTCTTTTGGTAGGTCATCTCATACCTAACATGTACAAAAGATACAAAACTTATGACATAAAACACCAGACCTTAGAAATCGTTTTTATATAATTTCATCATACTCCTATATATAATGCACGTGTTGACCAAATCCAAACAAGTGAAGCAATGTTTATATGATTCCATAGTCATTATTTCGTGGAAATAACGTCAATAAAGGCTTGTAATAACTAATGAATTAAATTGAGATTTTTTACTAATACTATCCTTGCAAAAGTGGTGAAAAAAATATTTTGTATAAGTTAATAACTGTAAGTGACTATATTTGTGTTTAAAATTTATATCGTAATGAGTTCATGTAATCACTGTGAATCTATAATGTATATTTTGGATACAATTACAGTAACTAATAGTTACTAATTTACATTTTTATTCATATATTTTTAAGAAAAACCCTCTTAAATTAAGAGTAGTCGGCCCCCAGAATCGTAAATACGTACCGAGTATATATATATAATTTTAATAAATTTGCTTGGAGAACAAAATTAATTACGAGATTATTTGACATCATTCAATAGGTGAAAGAAGAGGTTACTAAAAGCAAAACTAAAATTGAATTTATCCAACAAATAATGTCATACTCCGCATGTGAGTTGATAGCAAAAGTATCTGAATTACGAGTGTAAAAGAGAAAATTATACTACGTACAAATAAAACATACGGAGTATTATGTTAAACATTTTGACAAACCTAAAAGGGGGATGAACGTGTAAATTCCTAACAGGTCATAGGTGTGTACCCCCAAACAAATATTTAATGATTGACATAATCATTATACTCCCTCCGTCCCTAATAAAACTTCCAAATAGGTTTGACACACAGTTTAAGATAGTGGGTATTGTGTGGTGGAGAGTTGTGCAGAGGAGAGAGAAATGTGTAAGAATTGTTGTGAACCACAAATTCTGACCAAAAGAGGAAAGTGAAAGTTTTAATTGGGACGAACGAAAAAGGAAAATTGGAAGTTTATTTAGGGACGGAGGAGTATATATTAGGAGTATCATATTGACAAATCATTAATTAGGTTGACCCCTCAACCAAAACTTGATAGCAACCTATTAGAAAGGTACTACGTATATAGTTTATCATAATTAGGTTGACCCCTCAACCAAAAAAAAAATAGGTTGACCCCTCAACCAAAATATGATAGCAACCTACTTCGTATTAGAAAGGTATATAGTTTATTCGAGGGAAGTTATTTGTACACAACTTCTACACATTTTTTGTATAAACCTCTCTAGTTGTTGTGTATACATACAGTTAGTTCAGAAATTACTGTGTGCACAAACAACTAAACATTGTATAAAAAAATGTGTCCAAGTTATGTATACAAGTAGCACCACTTTAATTATCAATTTTTACAAAAATGTGTACAAGTATTTCATATTCTCTCATAATTTTACACTGTTTTACAGCCTTACTCATCAATAATCATGCATACTTTTTTAAATATTAGTGAAAAAACTACTTCGTATAACTGCAAACAAAAATTGGGAGTATGTATGATACTAGTACAACTTATTACTTAATTATAGTCTGTTATTTCATACTTCGTACTACGTACGTAGTACAAGTATGTAGATACGGGAGCGTTAAACGCGTGATACGCTTCAAATCATAACATAAAGTATGTGATCTTTTTTGTTTCAAAGTTAGAGTCGTTCTCCGTGTACATCCCATACATGTCATTTCTTACATGCGAGTAATTTTATACTCCGCACATAATTTTAAAAATGTACTACATCCGTTTTTAAATAAGTGCAACACATTGATTTTTACATTATTCATATGTTCTACTGTGACTACGTTTAATTAAATAATGTATTACGGAGTAATATATTTTCTTGAAAAAATATTGTTAAATTTGTCTCATTGTAAAATTTCAAAATCTATTTTTTAATAATTTTTTACTAATAAAGAATTATATATATTAATGGTCAAAGTTATGCCTCGATAAGTATCTATCTACACAAATAACTAGAGAGTATACAAATGTATAAATATGTATACAAATGGGATATTGGGGGCATAGGCGCGTAACTCACCTGATAAGGAGTGAGTGTCACAAGGGAGAGATCTGAGTTTCAACTCCAAGTTAGTAATGACTTGGGATGGAATCACATTTTCTTTTCATCAGAGTGTGATTAAAGTTCAACTTATATTCTCCTAGATAATTGTTCGATTGGTTATGTGGACCATCGTCCATCAAGAATGGGGTGTCATCGTTTTTTGTATACTGTTAAGATTCAGAGATTTTATCTTAAAAGGTCAACTTGATAATAAGACTAACTCAAATCTTAATATAGTGTTTAATTCTTTCAGAAATATCCCAGGTGGGACTTTAACATATACGAAGTACAACGAATGGTTTTTTCTTACATTTATTGAAAATTGGCCGGCGGTATTGTATTGTAATGCAGAGTTGATGGGCGAACTGCAAATTTAATTAAGATAATATCATGCAAGTACGTCAAGAATCACAAGAGGCATGGGTAGTCATCATTAAATGCTTTTTTGGACAGCGACACAATTAAGGTGGTAGCAATTCCATCTACAAGATTCATTCCAGATTTCCATCTTCAATCATATGATGCATGCACGGGATGCACACCGATTCATTCCAGATTTCCATCTTCCATCTGTAATTTTTTCTTTATTTTTTGTTAGTGTGAACATTTTCGTTTTTCCAATTTGAAGTGTTCCACTTTCTTCAAGTGTATAATCACTAATCAGCTCACTTGAACTGTAAGTCTAGATCAGTTCCTACAAGTCCAAGAGCGGTTAAAGGTTCGGTAATGGATCCGACGTCTCTGTCTAGCTTGCTTTGACAATAAAAAATCAATTGTAGAAAATGATCGAAGGAGTTTACTTTTTTCGCGAATCTTAATATCCTCCTTTCGATCTTTTTCATTGGTGAGCGCATGATATGGCACTCTCTTTAAGGTGTAGCATCCCAAACATTGGCGGAGCCAGAAATGACAGGTTAGAGAGGCCGGGCTTAAGGAATTTATTTTGAAGGAACCAAAACTTAGAACTTCACTATATTTTTTAGTACTTATTATTATTAATATTATTATTATTATTATTATTATTATTATTATTATTATTATACATATATACATTAGAATTTTTTTCTTGTGGGGCCTCTCGGGTTTCCACAATCCCAACCCCCCGCAATTTGGACTGTGCTTAATTTTACTCCAAATCAGGAGCCAATGTACGTTGTGAGCTAGCAGTGCAATAGGCAATATAGCTACATTTTTTGCACCAGATACCTACGGTGTTGTAAGTTTAAAGTTTGTAACAATATAATGCTACACCACACCCGGCCATTTAATTTGCTAATTTATACTCGTATACTTTACTATGCAGTACTTCTTTTTGTCTTTTATCCTTTTTATGTTATTACTACTCGATCATCATATTATTACCAGACGTGAGCCGATCAGCAAGTGGTATAAATAACAAAAATATGAAAGTTGTGTAGTTGATATTAATTAATGGTCGAAAAGAAAGATGAGTTAAAGATACTCCGACTTAGTATAGCGTAATTGTGTAAAATGGTACTCCGTAATTGCCATTCCTATATAAGATAGTATAACCGAATGTCCGTGAAAAGTATAAGAGTTAATTTTTGGTGTCAAGATTAAGAACATGAAAGCAAGAAAAAAAAAATTAAGTATATGTTATGTATAAATAATTTTAATCTATAGAAAATATGTTGATATTTTAAACTTTGGCCCCTGCAATGTAAAATTTTTAAAGACCGGCCTCTTCAACCATAGATTTCTGGCTCCGCCGCTGATGTAGGAGCATTTTTTCTATACAAATGGCCGTTACCATAAATTCTCAACAGAGGTTTCACGATGACATACTTTAAAAAGTTTGTGTAGGGGTTTGATAAGGTGAACACTTTTTATGCTTTAAGAGTATTGCACACCTCATAAAGGTGTCTTTTGAGTGAATTATTTTTCAAAAAATAAGCGATTAAATAAAAGATTGAAAAGGGAGAGTACATGATCAGATATACATATTAACTATTCTAAAATATACTTCGTATCTGCTTTTGAGTGAGTTATATTCCAAAAAACTACTCAACATTTTTTTGTCCAGTAGTTTTGGCCTTCTCCGAATTAAAAGTCATATAACAACTCATTCGCCCTTTTTCGTTTTATGACATTTTCCTCCTAACCTTTGCAAAAACATATCCAGCTATCAACCAAACTTTGGTCGATCGGAATCAATGCGACTTGTAGGGGCGAAAGTAGACCGAGTGGCCCTTCCCCATTTACCACTGGACAACACTCACTCACAACTTGTACTTTGTATTGATAATGGAAATGTATGTGTTTCGCCAGTTTGTTTTGTGTGGTGACCATGTTAAATAAAGGAAAATTTCAAAAAACATGACTAAAAAGGTAAGAATCCTGAATATCTAGAAGTAGTTACAGATTGAAAAATATTATCATATTTAAAGTTTGGTAGTGTTATAACATGAAAGTATTTACTCATATTTAAGGCAATACTACCTCCGTCTCATAATAGTTGTCTCGTTTCAATTTGGCACGATTATGAATAAAGTGATTTAAGAATAAAAGTTGTTGAGATTTGAGTAGAACGAAGTGAAATGATATGAACCGCAAATTTTTTACCAAAAAGAGAAAAATGTCATTCATTTTGGGACAACCTAAAAACAAAAGTAAGACAACCAAAATGAGACAGAGAGAGTATAAGAATAAATTGCATGTATACGAATGAAAACAACGTGAAATTTCAAAATATGGGTATTATTAGTTTTCCCTACGTATGACGAATTACAAATACGTTTGGGAAATACTAATGTGATTTCACGATGATTATATCGTTAATATAATCATATTCATGTTTAGTACTCCCTCCGTCCCCCAATTAAATTCCTAGTTTGACTTCACGTATATTAAGAAAATAAATTTGACTTTACTGTGGAGTGCACTGTTTAAACACTGTTTGACACTGTTTGGACACTGTTTTAACGTAGATTATTTGCCAAATAAGGAAATCATTGAAGTGTGAACTTAATTTAGGGACTGCTCGAAAAGGAAAGTGAGAACTTAATTGAGGGACGGAGGGAGTAATACGGAGTATAAAAGTTTATGACAATGTGACTTCATGCTCATAATAACATGACCCTCGACAATTCATATACTCCGTATAAAGGATTCACCCCTAAAGGACATTATCAAATAGATCCTAAAACAGGGATGGATTTAGGGGGGGCGCGGGGGGCGACCGCCCCCCTTGGAATTTCAAAATTTTCTATCATATATGTAATATTTTTATAAAACTTTCATAATTTAATTAGATGCGCCCCCCTTAACTTTTAATTTTCAAAATTAATATATAGTGTTACATAATGTAATCTATATTATATATAAAAACGGAATAGCCTCAGGTCATTTGGGCGGGAAGTGCTTAGCGTTTTGTAAGTAACTTTGCCAGATGGCTTAATCAATTATGCAATTAATTGATTCCACTTTAAAGTGGTCCCACTTTTTGTAAGTAATTGTTGCCAGATCACTTAAATGATATATTCTGGAAACCTTTAATGGAGAAGTGGAACCATTTTTTGACAATACGGAGTATTAAATAAACAATTAAATAAACAGTGGAGAAGATTAGAAGTCTCCAACATTGAATCATTGAATCATGGAAATTGATTCTTGAACTTCTCCAGACTTCGTAATTGCAAATAAATGGTCTGTCGGTATAAGAGTGTTGTTCGTATAAATACTAAATAGTGTCCATTACATAGCAAATGATCGGCCACCTAGCATAGAAATTCCTCAGTACACTTCAATAGGTGCAGCTACTATACGTCCACTTGATAAGAATAAATAGAGCACAACACCTGCAAAATGCATACTTACCTTATGAAAGTGGGATAAGGTAATAAAGCACCTTTAGTAATATATACTACCTCCGTCCCATTTATATTGTCCTGGAAGAGGGTGACACAGTTATTAAGAAAAGTGGGTTTGTGTGGTTGATATTAATTATTGATAAAGTAAGAATAAAGTAAGAATGATTTAGAGCCACCCAAATTTTGCCAAATATGGTATGTGACAATTTAAGTGGGACTTCCCGAAAAGGTAAAACGAGACAATATAAATGGGACTGAGGAAGTAATATACTCCGTATAAAAAAGATTGTAATGCTATTGTCTTTAAGCCTTAAGGTCTGTCAATGCTAACAAGTAAATTACCCTTGAGATTCTCCAAGAATGTTTGAAGTACAAGTAGCACCGTTTTATCATTTTTATCAAGAGATATTTGCGTAATCTGTATCTTCATACGGCTCAGAGGATCCAATTTGCTAAATGAAAATAGGCCTTCCTTTTAAATATTAAATCACACAGGATGTTGTTTTATTATTATTTGGTTGAAAAGTAGCTTTATGAGAGTAAATATTCACAAGTAAATTTATTTTTCAGAGTTGGCTTGTGTTTCAACATACAAGAAAATCACTAATTTATTTAAATATTTATTATTAACTACGGAGTTTAGATTAAAACAGGTAATGAACAAATAAATACTCCGTATAAGAGAAGGACGGGAGGATTACGGGAACTACGGAAGGCTGGAAAGTGTACATTGAGAAGGTCCGCTTGGTTGAACTGCCGAAGGGTAAGAGGTGGAGTGCTGCGGTGCTAGCTTTGTGCCTTCGGCGACGTGCCGGGGCGTTCGACAAAACACACAATAATCTGTTGTATCAGATCAAAAAAATCAGTCAAATTAATTCATGTTATACCAACTTTTAATTGAATAAGATATTTTTTAATGAATTCCCAATAAAAACGTTCACCTAGACCCATTTAATAATCACAAAATCTCATAAGAGATTTGATTATGTTAAATAAGTTCATCATTACATTACTTTTATTTTATAGAACTACAATAAATACATGTAAAGAATCAGCTCCTTAAAAATCAATTTTTTTCCTCCCGTGCATCGCACGGGTACTATACTAGTACTTAATTGAAGATTTAAAAGAAGGAACATCTAAAATAATTACATAACTTAAACAAATAAACAATAGAATAACTCGTTGTTTAAGATTTAGGATACTTATTATATAAGAATTCCTAGTTTTGTAATGTTTAACTATCTTTATTAGATAACAAGTACTTGATTTTGTAAAATATATATCAAACAATATTAAATATCAGACACACTAATTACACAGTTTTTAGATCACGTGAAATGAATCCAAAATATAAATGTTTGGGAAAACTGTCAAATAGGTCCTCGAACTTTCATAAAAAAGTCAATTAAGTCCTTCTATCGGAGACTCTGTCCGGTCGTCGCGATTTGGGGCAGTTCCCGGTGGAATTTTTTGATGAATTTTTTTTAGCATCTTATTCATCAAGTCTAGTTTATTCATGCCGAGTTTCAGCTAAAAATTTAATCGGGAGCGCATTCAAATTAATTCGAGAACGCAAAAATGCGCAGTCATCTTCAAGAATTGATTTGAATGTGTTCCCGATTGAATTTTTAGTTGAAATTTGGTATGAGTAAACTAGACTTGGTAAATAAGATGCTTAAAAAATTTCATCAACAAATTTCACCGATAACTGCCCCAAATCACGACGGCCGGACAGAACCTCCTATAGAAGGACTTAATTGACCTTTTTATGAAAGTTCGAGGACCTATTTGACAGTTTTCCCTAAATGTTTATTGACATTAAATTACATAATTCATTTACTTCTTGCTTTCTAAAAATAATTTATTGCATAGATAATAAACAGTAAATTATTATAGCATTAATACAAATATTAAAATATAATATGCACCATATATGTGTGTGTATGTGGTGCATATTATTCTAAAAATAGTAATATCATACATACTACTATTGTAATATTAAGAAAACTTTTCATGAGTCATGACTCACGAACACCATCCTTGGTGGCCGGACAAAAATTACAATTCAATAATAACCGATTCATGAGGTTAAACAATGTAGAAGTTATTAAAAATGTATTGGTTGATGTCTTTGTCATCGTCTAATTTAAACTTAGAATGTACTACTTAATAGATTTAAATGTCATTGGGGATGTGTATGTATTAATGTCATTTTTTGAATAAAATTAGCCGCATAGCCCTACAGTAGCGGAAAAAATTCGCCGCGCTACACTAGGGAAAAAAAATTCGCCCCACTACACTAACGAATTTTTTTTCACCCCCTACACTACCGAAAAATTTCGCCCCCCTTGAATAGAAATCCTAGATCCGTCCCTGTCCTAAAACACAACAGAGAAAAAGTAAATCATACTCCGTCGATCAAATGAGTTGTGATCTTAGTCTCATC